AATATAAATACTATGTAGTTTACACAAGGGGTTTTTTAATGTATGCTATGTCATGAGGTTGCTATTACTATGTGAGGTAAGCAGGAAGATTTGCATTGGAGGTCAGCTGTTGTAATTCATATTTAAATTTCAAAAGGAGCAAAAGAAGCATTTACTTCCCATGGTCTCTTTCAGTTTATTTTATAAATTCTCCATGTGACCTCATTTACTATATCCTGATGCTGTTGCCCCAATATCTGTGTATAAAGCAGTTTCACTTGGGGATCAAGCTCACAGAGATCAGAACTGACCATGAAACATTAATTCCTTGAGCAACCTGCAAGCATTTGTCCACCACTTAGAAGAATGTACCCAAAACCAAGCAATCCAAAACTAACAAAAATTACTGAATTTCAAAGACTAAGGCTGCACTCATGTTGACAGTCAGTATTTTTATGCAATGAAATCACACTGGAACCGTAGCCATTCAACCACTACCCCACCCTCAGCTACACACTCAGTTCACAGACACTCCATGAAGAGCAGTAACTAAATTTGCTACATGCCCACATCCAGCACAAGTTTCTTGCACTTGAAAAGCCAAACTGAGTCACATCTTAAACAAAAGCCTGGCTGGGAGCAGCAGCAGCCAGCCGTGGTACATCTCATGGTAACTAGAGAAAGCCTGGGAGGAGGAGGCAAGTAGTCACTGTGTGGTGGCACAGACAAAGCCAAGTCACTACTAAACACTGCAATGCCCTAGAGTTGCCCCAATATAAAGGGAGCAGAGCAAGCTAGGAAAGTTATGTTTTAAAGCTGTATACCCTGATCACCACTCACTTTTAAAATTTGTTTCCACCTGGTTCCTTGTTCCAAGGGAATCTAGTGCAAACCACTCTGAACATCATTCTTTTGAGTTCTTTCTATCTTTTTTTGAGATGTTACAATGACAAAACAGCTCCTGAGAGCCCTTCTGGGTATGACTTGGCCATTAGTTCCTCAGGCTTTTTCACAGCTCTGAAAACCAGCTGTGCCCCACAGCTGTGTTGTTCCTGGGAGATAAGAAAGCATGAAAGTGTTTGCAAAGTGACAGCCTTGCAACATGTTACTGATGGTACCAGAGCCATGCATGATCTTTAATATCCCAACTCATACCCGTGGCCAGCTCCAGCCATGTGTTGGTTTTGAAAACAAGCCTGGGGAGTCAGCAGTTTCAAACTCTTGGATTTCTGTGCCAAACTGTTCTCCAAGCCCTGAAGTCAGATGGGAGGGGGCATTTCCTGGGCTGCTGTATTTACCCTGAGCAAGGGACTTGGCCACAGGATTCCCCAGCCAGGTCATCCTAAGGGAGCTCACGGGCAGCTCCCACTCGGTGCCATGATCACATCACCTGCCTGGCCTTGCCTTTATCTAACAGAGCAGCAAGAGATCGTCCTTTAGAATAGAGGGTTGGTTTTGTGTATGGAAATTATAAAATAACTCAAGTGGTGAAAAGGGAGAGCAGCTCTCCATGGATGGTTTGTATCTGCTTTGTGCAGCACACTGCAAGAAAATCCATGTGGGCTCTAGCTGATGCTATGTGCACATGAGGAGTCCATTGTCTGAGGGCGTTTTACCTGCTGTCTGTATTCCTCATCTTATTCAGTCTTATCTAGGCTGTACCTCTCCATCTCTCTCTTTTTTTCTCTTTCTCTTTCTCTCTCTTTCACTCTTCCCTCCCCTCAGTCCCTCCTCTAGAGCAGAACAGCTGCCCAGGTTGCAGTAGTTACCAAATAAAATAAAGGGTTATTTTGGTTTGAATTTATAAGGGAAAGAGGCTCACAATGTATGATGCATGCATGTGTATATATGCCAGTTCATTGCCAGCAGTGACATTTTAGACATTATCACACTTCAGTAAGTGACAGAAGAACATCAAGAATAATCAACTGGATAAAAGGGGAAGGACCTGCCAGCACTTTTGCCAACCCTCTGCCTAACTAGTATCAGAGAAACATCCTGGTCTCCCCAAAGACAGAGGCACAGTGTGCACAGGTCAACCCTGAAATGCCAGTTTGTAGAGCTCGTTCTCCATTCTCCCTGTGGGACTACCATGGCTTTTTAACCATTCATCTCACAGCTGGACACTGCTCTTTGTTTTAAAGATTACTTGAAATATTCTTAAATAAGGGGGTGCTGCCAGCTTTGCTGGTTTAATGATCAGCTCCTCGTGATCTGACCTCAACTCTTGCCACCTTCAAGCTGTCTACTTGATCAACCTGCCCATTCTTCCCTAAACCCCCTCAAACTTTGTTCACAGGACTCAGGTGGCTCCAGCTGACCAGGAGGGACTTCTGTCTCATTAAAACCCTTATTATTTTGCAGCAGAAAAGGATTTCCCCACCTGTCAATGAAGCAACCAGCGTGCTCTGGAGTGTAAGCTCTGAGTTTCTTATGTACATGCCCATATTACAAACTGATCTCCACTGCACCTGCTCCACATGTGCTGTCCCTGTTGTGCCCTGGTGATGTGGAGATGTAGAAGCAATCTGCAAGAAGGACAGAGTTTCTGGACCAGAGAACCTTCAGTGTTACTAGATTTATAATCTTTCTGTGCACTTTCCAGTGACATTTCAAGTTATATGGCTTATACTCTATCTTAATTATCAAGTCATTACAGAGCATGCACAGTTGTCCTCAGTGCTATTTCAAATTCCCAGCTGTGGTCTGTGGGGTTTTATTCCTTCTAGAAATTCACTAAACAAATGCTGCTGGGAAAACAATAGGCAGGGTGTAAGTTCTCTTATGTCCCCTTCTCCCTGCCAGATCCCTACTGACAAAGACATTTATGACAAAAAGCAAACCTCTCTCCAGTTCCAGAGGTGCCACGTGGGCTGTCTGGGCCCCATGGTCAGAGCTGGGCCCGGCTGAGCTCAAGTGACTCCAGCAGGTCACAGCCCTGGCCAGAGAAGGCTGAGGCAATGCTGTCCTGGTGGGTGATGCAACCAAAGGCTCTGAGAGGGCTGTATTTCTTATTGGAAACATCTGCCTGTCGCTTGGCATTTGAATGAGCAGTTGGAAGCTGCTGGTAGGTGCTTGTGTCATGGCAATGACTGTGACAGGCTTTTTCCACCTCTGAGGAGATGGTTGTGACATTTGCTTTGACTGTGGCTTTGAAGCCACTGAGTTCCTGTGCTTGAGAGCAGACAGTGAGGATGAATGCTGTGTAAGGCTGTATTTCAGATCAACCCAGCAATTAACACTGTGCAGGCAGTGCCATCTGACTGGTGCTGCTGCACCTGTGAACAGCAGCATGCCCTGCCCTGCCAGAGGCTGCTGCAGCCTTGGAATTGAGCATGGACTGTTCAATGCTGCCCTACATCCTCTGCTGTTACACATGGGTTGGATCTGTTTGAGCCTCTTCTCCCTACAGCTTTGCATGGTGCTCCAGGGAACACTGAACACTGCTGTTGGCTGCTTTTCCCTCTTTTCCAGGTGGGATTCAGTGGAGAAATGGCCCTCACTGAGTTTAGGAATAAGTTAGGAAGGAAAAACTGTAAGGGACAGGCTGGTTTCAGGAAAGGATTAGCCATTAATACAGCATAAAGGTATTCTCTTTTGTATAGGAAGGATGGGCAATTGCAAGCTGGAACAATCAAGAATGCAAACTTGTCCTCCCTCCCCTGAACTATGCTCTGTTTCCACTGAGAAAAGGAATGAAAACTACAAGACTTACCTTATATGTTGAAATTGAGTGATTTTAAGGTGTCTTCAAAATGCAGAGGACAGCAGGCTTATGAGAGCCCAGTACCACCAGTTTCCATACTTTCTAACCTGTTAAACGGCTGAGAGCTGGGCTGTCAGCAGCAGAACCTCAGTGCCAGCCCAGCATTCTGTGTCTCTTTCAAAAGACAGGGTGTAGAGCAGGGCAGGCTGATGGGAGCAGCACTAGTAAGTGAAGCATCTGCAAGCTTGCCCCCAGTATTTGGGGGGTGTCCTAGGCAGAGGTCACCAGGATGCCCCCTCTGGAGAGACTCCCACAATGGTCAGATCCCAAGCAGGATTACAGATAAGGTACCACGGGCAGAGATGAGCCACTGGCAGGGAGCAGGGCGAGCCTGGTGACAGTGGCCAGGGTCATCAGAGAGCCCTGATCAGCAGAGCAGTCTGCAGTGAGGAGGGACAAGATCAGCTCTGTCACCGACTGCCAGCACAGCTGCAGCAAAGCTCAGGCAAGGAGCAGGCCTGATAGCCTGGACATGAATACAGCTCATGTGCCAGGGGACAGTCACACTTATCAGAGGTTTGGTCCCCTGCACCAGCTTCGGGGGATTTGCGGGGTGTTGATGGCTCTTTCTGGCAAGGCTGGCACATGGGATGAACCTTCCCAGCCTTTGTAGCAAAATTCTGCTTTTACTGCCAAAATTAATCCCAGGTAAGCATGAGAGACAGGGCACACTGCTCAGGGGTCATGGAGGGAGCTGATGTGGCTTGGCTTTGCTTCAACATGAACAAGGGGATGTGTGTGTGGGGAGGGTAAGAGAGAAGAAAAAGTCCCATCTTCCTGCACCCCTGCAAAGGAGTTTCAGGGTGTCCCACACAAACCCCATGATTTGATGTGGGTCTTCCCCTCCCTTCCCCACTAGTTGCCTTTGTTTTCATCGAAGAAACTTGGAGATTTAACACACACACAAAAAAAAAAAAAAAAAAGAAAAGAAAAAAAAAAGAAAAAAAGGGGTAGGATGTGAAGAAAAAACTGATAGGATTAAAGCAGGATTTGGGCACTGGCAGAGAGCTGCCGTGGGTGGTGGGTATTAGCAGTAACAGCTGCCGTGCTTCCCATTAGAGGAGCAGGCGAGGAGGGTCCCTGAAAGGATGGGTCTCCGGCAGGCTGGCAGGGCAGTGGTGGCAGCGAGCCCAGCAGTGAACGTGTCCCAAGGTAAGCGCCGGCGGCACCGGCAGCCGGAGCCCGGGCAGCCCCGGGCAGCAGCGCTGCTCCCCGCGGGGACGGGCACCGCTGGGGCTGGGGTGGGAAACGGCACAGCCGGGGCAACAGCCAAGGGAAAGAGCTGCTCCTCGGGGCTTCTTCCATGAGCTCCTGCGAGAAATCTTATCCAGCAAGGGAGGTTTAGGTGTGCCCAGATAGGAGGCTGGCTCCGTGAAGAGGAGACATCCTGCTGCTGGTCCAGGAGGGCTGGGAGAGTTAACAAAGATTCCTGTGATTTTCACATGCATCTTCTGGCACACAACTGGTTGGAGTGGCAGGATGCTTGACTGTGGAAGGTTAAATGCATCCATCTGCTTGCTGCTTTAGGCTGGGCATGAACTGTTTTGCGTGCAGTGGTGCTTCATTAGTCAGCTGGCAAGATTCAGAAGTGCTTGAGAGGGAGGTGTAAGTTAGACCTCCTCAGCCTCTGTTTCCTCTGATTTATTTATGTTTGCTCATTGACTAAGTGTAATGACATCTAAGGCAGGAAAGGCTGCATGTTGAAAAGAAGATGTTAGAAAGCGCTACATTAAAATCAAAAGTACCTGCTTTGTGATATCCATTACAGTAAATGCCACACACTCACCCTTCAGCTTCACTTTGCAAAGCACGTTTTAAAAAAGCAGAATGGCACGATACTCTGTTCAATCTGGAAATGTGTTTTGTGCTGTCACCGCAGGGATGTAGCTCTGTGATGGCAGGCAGGCACAGGCTCTGCTCTGGCCACCAGCCCCATATGTGATGGGGCCTGCAGCAACTCTGCAGGTCTAAGGGGCAGATGCTTCCCCTGTTGACCAGGCTGTACATTTGGGGTGGGAGTAGTGGAGGGTGCTGAGTGTGGCTCAGTACAGAGCCTGCTTCTCCTCCTAAACCCCACAAGACTTTTTAGATAAATCTTTTCTGTCCACTCCCTCCGTGGGCAGCTTCACAAGAAATACATCCTCTTGTGGGGGGCTTTTCCCTCTCCCAGCCTGAACAGTTTACTTCAGAATGTAAATGCTATAGATTCCCAAAGTGGCTCCAGGTGCCACAGAGATCACTTATTCCCTTATGTTTAAAGACAGTGGGGGAGGTGGTTCTGGAGATCAGATAAATCAATGGCACCATTTGGGAAGTCACTGCTTTGAAGTGAACTCCACATTGTTTCCTGCTGTAGGATGGAGGATGGTGGGAGAGCCCACACTGCCATTGTTGGCTGGGCCTGCACGACCCTGTGCTTGGTCTCCTACGCGGCCGCCTTCTCGCAGGGCGCCAGCCTTTCCGCTTGCACCGACATGATGCCCAGGCACCTAAGGGTGCAGCTGCACAGCTCCAACAACAACTACGTCACAGTCCACACCAACATGTCCTTCTACTTCCCAGGAGACAAGGTGCCAGGTAAGGAACAGCTTCTCATTCCTGCATCTGAAAAAAACACGGCAACTTATCTCAAGTGATGGAATTAAATCTCTGTGAGGTCTGGGAAGATGGCTAACCGCTCTGAGTGAGCTACAACACCCCTCTTGTCATGAGGACATATTTACAGAGGAGTTCTGTTTGCAGCATGGGTGCTTTGGGTGGGATTCCTTTATCTCAGCTGTGTCTCAACCATACCAAACCTTGTTACATGCAATGGCACACGAGAGGCACCCCAAGTGGGTAAGGTCACCTTCCCAGCCCCTCTGCACCACTCTAAGGGTCCGGGTGACTCACCTGACTCTTGGGCATGGTTGGCAGCATTCCCCATCCCTGGCATTGCTGCTCCTCAGGCAGATGCAGACAGAGCTGAGAGGCACCATTCCCCAGCTTGGCCACTTGCCTGTTCAACCCTGTGCAAAACAAAACCCTTCTGAGAGCAGAACACGAGCTTTCACACACATAGAGTGGTGTCCAAACCTCCTTCCTTAAAAATGGTTCAGCTGCATGTTGCCTGATCCAATGTGGTTAACATCATCAAGGAAGGATGGGGCGTAGGGAGGGTGGGCAAAGTCTCAGGCAAATCCTGTGCGCAATTACACACTGCAAAACCAAAGGTAAAAGTCTGGCCTTCTGTATCCAGCATGTCCAAGACAGACTGTGAGAACAAAGACAGTGAGGTGTTTTCAGTAGAGTTGCCCCAAGTTTTTTCTGGAAACTCCATTGCAGGCAATTTACTCCATAACAGCAAGACAAATCCCTTTGTGTCCTGTGTTTTGTTTTCTAAAAGTGACAGTAAGAAGCACCCGGGATTACATGGGCTTTATGCTGCAAGCTCGCAAAGTGTCCAACAATGAAACTGCTGGCACATTCATCTTCCTGCCTCCTGGTTCCAAGCTGCTGACTTGTTTTGAAGATGGTGACACTGTCACACACTCGGACAAGTCGCTGAAGAGAAACCTGTCCTTTGTATGGAAAGCACCAGATCAACCCATGGGAGACATCAAGTTTTTGTAAGGACGTGCTGGTTCCTAATCAGAATTTGTGTCTTCTCAGTTACAGGCTGTCCAGCACAGTGCTTTTATGTATCTTGAACCCAATATAGCTAAATACTTACCAAATGCTGCAACAGCATCCCAGCTAGTACATAAATCACCATTAATATCTGCTGAGTAGTGCTGCTTTTTATTTACATAGCCACTGTTTTCTCAGAATAGATACACGGAAAGATGACAGCTTAAGCATTTTAGGAAAAAGAAATATTAAGGCATAAAGAGAGAACTGTGACCATGTTGCCTGTCTTTGTAAATAATACAGCCCACAGGACATCCCTGACTACAGTATAATCTTGTATGTCACTTCTTAAGGAAAAAACAAAAGTAGCTTAAAAAAAATTAAATGCATACAGAATTATTCACAATAGAGAGTGAGCACTGTGTCAAAACTTGACATCTCTCTTTTTGCACCAAAGTCCCAAACTGTCCAAGTAGCTTGGTTCTGATTTGGAATGAAATTAAATATCTCCTAAACTGCCTTAGAGGAAGCACAGTGGCTTTTCATTTCAAAAGAGATGAAATTGTTATATTTCAACTTTACAAAATCACTTAGAAACTGCTTGGCCAGATCCTTGGATGCTTCCCAAATCCTAAACATCCTGTTGAGTGTTGTGGCTTGAGCATCTCATTGTGATTCAAGAAAAATTCATTGAAACAGAAATATTGCTACTTGGAATTTCCAATTTTTGGCCATTGCTTTAGATCAAACAATCAATAAAGTTTAAAGAAATACTATTAAACTCACAAAAACCCCCAAATAAACCCAAACAAATCCCAACAAGACCTAGTCCTAGTCACCCACTCTGATACTTCCTTCACACTCTGGCTTTTGACCCTCTGAGCTGATATCTGATAGACTCTCCCTTTTTACCCTGTCACAGCATCTGGAAAATGCCTTATTAGGCTTAAAAATACCTTGTAAGTGTCATCTGGCACAGGAAAACCCAGGTTGGTTTCCCCTTAGATAATTCTCAGAAGCAGCTGAGCAATCTGAGCTGAAATTCTCCCAAATTCATGTCTAGCTTAAATAAGGCTCTCGGGGTGAAGTTAAAGGTTGGCCAAAACAATTTTGGCACCTGACAAAAAGCAGAGGATTAGGCAGGCTCAAATATCAGGCTGAGAAGAGAGACTTTTTCTTCACCTTACCTATTCTGCTGTTTGTACAAGTTACATTGGCTTGTTTTAATTAATAAATACCACTGTTGTTTCCCTGCCTACAGAAGATTATAAACAGAGCTAGTCCAAGTTCTACAAATGTACTTCAATCAACATGATGAATGTAATAGAGCTTTTTTAAATATTTTTTTTTTAAGTTCCCACACATTTTTTGGCTGAGCTTAATTATTAATTGAGTGGTGATTCCTCACCCTGAATCTTTCTTATGGGACCTGCTACGTTTTATTTTTAATAGAAAATGTACGACAGGGTAATCCTTTAAAATACTTGTGCATTGGTTCTGTCTTCAGATTAAAGCAGTCTTTGTGATTAGCTAAACAGTCAGATGTTTTATTAATGCCATAAAGCCAGTAAATTCTTGCCTGATTATGTTTTAACAGCATCTCCATAGTCCAGTCATACTTTGTTTACTGGGCAAAGATTGAATCTGCTGTTGTGGCTCAGGGAGGGCAAAACAAGACTCTTGATGACAAGAAGCCTGATGCCGTAGCCCCTGCGCCCCTACAGGGACCAGCTGAGCCTCACCCAACAGGTATGGTGAGCAAGCCTTGTTGTTTTGTTCCAGCACCCCCTGCAGAGTAGTTTTACAGCTTATTCTGGGCAAGTGTCTAACACAAGTGACCCAGACAAGCTGGCGGGACCCATTTAACTCCTGTGTCTGTCTAGGAGATCATTGATGGCCATGGTGAGCTCCTTGAAGTGAAGGTGTGGGTCAGTGTTTGAGGTGTGGGTCAGTATTTAAGGAGTTCCAAGGAGGGCACCAGAAAGTCAAATGAGGTTGCCAGATCTTCTGATTTCAATGCAAATCTTAGCATATTTACCTAAAACTTTAGGTCTTAAAGAGAAGGAAGTGCAATTAACAATGTTGCCTGAACAGAGGAACATTTTTTTCTATATATGTGATTGTTGCCCTCCAGGTATATATTTAGTTGTATTTATGCAGCCTTTGGTCAGTAAGATGCTCCAAGAATTTACTTATACAAATCAGACATATTTCTCAGCATTTTTGGTATGACACCAATGCTGAGTTTTAATTATTTTACTTGGCCATTACATAGGCAGCGAGCTTTGCTGCTTTAATTTCCATGTGGGTTCTCTCTTAAAAGTAAGTGGCATGAAAATAAAAGAGTCACTGTTACAAACCTTCCTGGCAAACCTTGGCACCGAGTGGGATTTGAAATAAACAAACCGAAGACAATAGACTTCTGCTCCTCTCTCCCTGATTTTTGTTTTGTCTCCCTGCTGGACAAGGTCCCATCTCTCCTGCAGCTGCCGCTGGCTCCCTGCTGCCTGCCAGCCCCACTGGCATCGTGGCAACACCAGCACTGGAGCCAGGTTTTGGTGTGGGGTCAGACACTCATCCCGTTGCTGAGCCGAAGCAGCCAGCCCGGTCATCACGGGTTGTGTCCAGCAGGAGCATCCAGTCCAGAGACTGGGGGCTGGAGCTGTCACTTCCCACCCAAGACATTGGAATGGTGGATGCCTTGCAAGGTTCCCTCTCCCAGGACAATGCCTCCAGCTCCAGCACCTTCAATGGGTAAATCTAGGTGGTTGGAAAAGCTGTTTCTCCCATCCCTGTGGGGAAGGAAAATACTACTAGTTTCCCTGCAGATGAGCAAGGAAGATGTAGGAAGGTGTCTGTGTGTGTAGGGGGGAGGTGAGAGGGTGTTTGTTTGCTGAGATTTTGAGAAATAATCCTTTGGATATTGCACATGACAAACAGTGACAGGGAGAAAATCCAAAACTCCTAAGAACCCAACACTGTGTTGCTCAGCACAGTGGGAGATTGGCTAGGTGGTGGAAAAATGTGATAAAACCTATCGACTGTTACAACATTTTTCTGAAAGTGCATACAAATATTCAGTGGAACAGTGAACTCGACAGACCTATTTCTCCATCTGCAGGGAGAAGGAAAAAAAAGGATGCAAAGCAATTATGAAATTTGGGCTTGAGGATGTCTGCTCAGATCTTAGAAGGCTTGGGCTGCATGCGCTTTCATGCAACATTTCATACTGTGGGTGAAATGATGGGGAATCAGTGACCAGGCATAATTCAAAATACAGCTTATATGATCTGCATTGCATGCATCTCAAAACTGCTCTAAGGAGCAGCACTTCTCAGTGGTGTGAGCCACGGGTGTCACTTGCTAGCCTTGCCTTTCCTCTGTCCCTATTTCAGAGCAGGAAGCATTGCCAGTGCTGCCACCCCACACCTGTGTTTGATGTGTACAGGCAACAGGAAGGTAAGCACCGGGGTGGGGAGGACACCCTTGCAGCCCATGTAGGTGTCATAAGTGGCTAAAGCTACATAGAGACTTGTAAAATTTTTTTAATTTTTGGTTTTGTTTTTTTTTTTTTCTTGGTGTGGTTTTTTTTTTTTGAGCCCACTGCCTGGGTTTTAAAGAGGCCCATTGTAAAAACAATTGCTCAATTGCTTTCCCTTATGTGACTACAGGCTGCTAGAAATGTGTGTGCTTCGAGATACAGGATACAGAGTTAACAGGGTAAGTCCACTATGCAGGTGATGAAGAGAAGAAAAATACAAGGAGAAGAAAGAACTAGACCTGGTTTCCAGGATGCCAAAGGAGGAAGAGAAATAATCTCACAGAAAATGAAAGAGAAAGGGGACATACAGCACAGAATGAGCCAGAAATATTTAGGAAGTAGCAGAAGACAGAGAACAAGGAGAGATGTGTACCATAAGCATCTGGTGCACGCATGGAGAGAAGTGGAGAACTGGCAGTAGATGGAAACCAAAGGGAAGAACGAGTTATTGCACAAGATCAGATGAGCCTAATGAAGCAAAAACACTAAGAAATTAGGAAAAATGGAGAGGAGTATGAAAAGAAAGGAGAAATGAGCTGAGATAGGGCAAGAATTTCTTGAGGAAGTTCCATTTTCTATCCCAAATCCTATATCCTTACTGTATGGCATTTGCATTTTGAGGGCAAGTGATCCATACACATGCAATCCTAGCTTTGCCAGCCTGCTACTTTACAGATTGCATTTAATCCACTGAAAGTCTTCTATTTCCTGCTGTATTTTAATAGCACCTTCAGAAACAATCCCTTCCACAAAGGATGCTCTGACCCTCCACTACTTTCCTTCACAGCTTGCCAGGGCTCCTGCCTCAGCTTTGTGCTCTTGTCACACTGTCTTCCCAGGAAGCTTTAGAAATCACTAATGATGGTAGAGGGTGAGAGTTTCTCTGGTGTAATTAATGGATGTGTGAAAAAGCCTGCTGGGCTGGACAGGCTGGAGAGGTGCCAGCTACTGAGGGCCAGATCCAAATCTCAGTGGAGCCAAATTAAAAAGTCCAGTACATTTTGCAGGTTTTGGATAGGGGCTCAGGTGCATATTGGGAATGCAAAAATTCATTGGGGATCTCCTAAATTGCATGCTTGTTCCCAAGTATTATCTTGGATGATACCTGCAGCAAAGCCTGAGCTGCAGAACTGGTGTGGAGCAGCTGGCATTTTGTGACAGTTAAAATAAGGTGCATGGAACCAGACGGTCCCCAGAAACAGGCAGGAACCATCATTCCCACTAAAATGGGTGGTTAAGCAACACAGAGGGGCAGAAGATTTCAGAGTGGCTATATAAACTGAAAAAGTAAGACAGGCCTTGGGGAGAGTTTGTAGGTTGTATGTGAATGCCCCAAAACTGCTGATGGCAAAGGCCACTCTAAGTCTCCTGTGCCCATCCACTCCATAGCCTCAGAAGGGCAATACTGAATCCCAGTGGGTCCATGTGAGCCTACACATGCAGCTTGGCTGGGAAAATCACAGCTGCCCTTTCAGCATGACCCTGGTGCCACTCAAGGTGGGAATTGTTTATTAAGTGATATTATTTTGTGATAAAGATGCCTGTGAAAAATACCACCACCACAACAGGAACTGCAGGCATTCAGTTAGATGAAGCAGTGACCTTCCTCTCCACCTGTGCCCTTCACCTTTGTCCCTCCAACCCACACTGACTTTGTCCCTGGGACCAACTCGAGTGCCTTGTTCCTCCCATGGCAATTCTGGTACGGAATGAGCAGGGTTGCATCTGCTTCACCTTCTAAAAGCTACTGAGTAAACAGGGAATAAAGAAGAATTAGTCTAAAGGCAGAGGGACACATGGGCAGCAGAAACAGAGTTGAAGTGTTCCATGAGATAGGTAGTGAGAACTTAATCAGCCCCCTTTTCTCTTCCCTTACTGCACATTTTGGCATGTTTTTGCTTTCCAAGGGAAGTACTGACAATGGGACCATCTTGAAAGCCTCCCTACGTGTGACAGCATCTCCCCCTGCCCTGCACATACACACACACCCGGGTGACATTACTGCAACCACAGTCTGGCTTGGTGATGCCAATGCTACTGGCAATTTGTCCTCGGCTTCAAGGCAAATGGCAGAAAGAGAACTGGCACCGCAGCCAGAGGAGGCAGGCACCAGGGGTGAGGAGGACAAGGATGAGCAGCAGGCAGCTGGGAATTCCCTGACATGGGTGACCAGACCAGCTCCCGAACCTGCTGTTCCCGAGAAAGAGGAAGGCCCTGGTAGAGGAACGCGACTCCTTGCAGCCCAACTTGGCATTGTCCTGGTCTGCACGGCTGTGCTGGGCCTGGCGCTGGCAGCTGCCATGCGCTGTGTCTGCACCCAGCACTGCCACAAGCGGGCCGAGGTGTCCTTCAGCGAGCCAGACCCCGATGTCATCACTATCACGGAAAACGGGGAGGTGATGCACTTCCGAAAGATCCGGGAGAACGGCTTCGTGCTGGTGCAAGCTGAGTACAACCGGGTCAGCCCCTCGGGCAGTGGGAAGACTATGGTGCTTTAGTCCCTCTTTGTGCTGTCATATAGAAAAACAAGCCCAAAGCAGCCAGTTTCAGACAGAGGCGTTAGGCAAAAGTATCTAAACTACAGCTGCTGAGAAAATAGAAGCTGATAGATTACACAGTGTTACACTTACTGCAATTAATATTGTATATCTTCTCATTAGCTGTCACTGTGGCAATGACAAACACTTCCTCTGTTACCTTAACGGTGTAGCCAAAAATAGAAATTCTTCCTCAGCACTATGATATTGGCTCTGGTTTCATCTCAATTAAAAAAAAAGTTTCTAGGAACTACAAACCCAACCGTTCTCATTTAAGAGTTTACAGGTTTGACTCTGTGCACTTGGTATCCCTCAGATTACAAATATTTGGCACAAGATTTCAAGTTTCAATTTGAAAATAAAAAGCAATAACTCGTTAGTGGAGAACATTGATCCCAAGAATGCTGAATTGATCCACGAGTGAGACACAGGATGGCAGACACCAGCTTTTGGGGGAGAAACATGCCTCTTCATCAGGTGCAAATGGAAGGAAATCTTTCCTGTCCATTTGCACCTGATGAAGAAGCTTGTTGAAGCCTGACAGTCAACATTTATTTAGTCTTTTATTTTGAGCCAGCTCAGTGACACTGTGCAGAAACACGGACTGAGAAGTACCCTTCCCAGGTCACTTGTCCTGCAATAGGAAGTTAACAGCATCGTTATTTTCTGAGTTTGTGCAAACTTCTCTCTGTGTGATTTTCTGCAGGAGACCCCAAAAGCAATCCTTTGAAAACAGCATGATCCTGGACACCTCCTAAGATTGAGAGATAAAGACAGCAAGGGTAAAGTTTTATTTTACTGCAGCTTTACAAGAGCCAGAAATAGACATGATAATGATCCTCTTGAGATGTACATTTTAGAGTCTTTCAGAGAGCAGGAATTGACCCTTCTGGTGTCCTTTTCTAGGGTGGATCAGCTCAGAGCTGATCATTCCCAAGCCATGTAGTGGGGAACAAACTTACATTTTGGTGCTGCAGCCTAATTCACAGCCCACAGCAATCCCCCTGAATAAGCAGATAATGACAGGACTCTGATGGTTCACCCAGCCTTCCTGGTGACAACTTCCCCTCTGTCAGGAGGGCCTCGTGGCCATCTCCAACTAGTTGCCCATCTCCATGCTGGATAGTCAGTCAAAGCCCTGCTCTCACATCCTCCCTTACCTCACCACTGACTTCAGAGGAGACAGGTGGGACATGAGTTCTCCTGCTCTGGCTCCAGCATGATGCACAGAGTGCAGCTTTTGCTAATGATGCCTTCCATTAGCATTCAGAAAGAGCTGGTTTCTGATCGTACTGCTGCACTGTGATCAGTGACATTTGTGCTGCACACATGGACAAATTTTTATCAACTTCACTTCTAGGCCCAGTGAGCCTTGGGCAAAATAAATGAGTAAGAAGTAAGTGTACTCACAAACGCAGCTTGCAGAGATGAGCTTGATGCTCTTAACCACTGTACTTTGAAGAGAAGGGCAACTGCACCATAGCCCTTTGCTGCAGAAAAAATAAGGATAGTGCTGTAATTGAAAAGACAAAGTTTGGTTTACGACTCAGAAGGATGCCAGGTGAATGGTTTTATATTCACTCACTGAGCTTATGCCCTACCTACTAGTAAGTCTCCAGGTTTTTAAGCACACATCTAGACACTTACAATGGCATTCCTCCCCCTTGTCATGTGCCTTAGAAAGAAATCATGTTTCTGTAACCCAGTGTAACTGAACTGTGTAGTGACTAAAACAGACTGCATTCTAGTCATTGTTAATGCAGCCAAAAAAAAATCCTAATTAACTGAGAAAATAGGTCAACAAACTCTTAAATATTTAAAGAACTATCACATATTGTTTTAAAAAGTTTCTTATGATGGCATAGCTGTTTATGAATAAATTACAAATACCTATGGCCTCTTTCACTGTCTCTCTAGGATTAATGTTACCAGACTGCTCTGGCTGTAAGACCAGAACCTTCCTCTCCTCAGCTCTTTCCCCACAACCCATCATTGCTTCTTTCTAGGCTGACTAGAGCAAGGGAAGGTCTCACTGAGATGTTTGATTGGGGGAGTGGCACTTCAACGTTCTGCCTTCTGCTAAATTGATGTGCTCCAGTATTATTAGTAGTAAGACCAGTAATGGTGAGCTCTGAGGGATGCAGCTTCTCTGAATTAGTAATGAGTTTTGCTACTTTGTGGCTCTCTTGGCTGAGACCTAAAGTGCCCGTGTTTTTTTCTTGACTTCCGAATCATGTTCCATTTGTTGTAGTTGCCATGACAGAAGGAATGGAGGTCTTATCTCTTTTTTAAAGCTCTTAAAAACATGAGCACTAGTTAGTTTATTAAAAGGCAAACCATTCAAACATCCCCATTCTTAACTGGCCTGTCTTATATGGGAATTAGTCTGTGCTCATGCTTGTAACAGATTTCAGGGAAAAAAATGTCAGAATTAGGAAAACAGAGGCACAAATCATTCTAATATTTACTGGAGAGACAAGTGAAAGTTGTTGCCTTGTTTCACTGTCTAGGTGCATGATTGGGCTGGTCACAAACGTTCTGCTGGAACTGGGGATCTCAGTTCCTCCAGGGTTGCTCAGTCACCTGTGGCCCACATCAGACTGTCATCCCTCAGCAATGTGACATGGTTTGGGGTCAGAAGCATTGAAAGCAGCTAATGAACACCTATCCTGAGCCTATCTTCCCACCAGCCAAAGAGGCATCAAACATAGTTTTGGCAGTAAAAACATCTATGGCTCTTGCAATGCTTGAGCTATCCTGACTCAAGAAAAAAAATAATTTAGAAATAACAAAATGTAATGTGGACAGGTTGCACTAAGCAAGACAGTTGATCCAAAGCTTGGACATCACAGACACTTCCTGCATTTGTTGAATTGTCACTAGTAAGCAAAAAAAGCCCGACATGCTTTGATTTGGCCCGCTTCAAAAAGGGTAACAAGACTCACAGGAGAAACCACAGGCCCTGTAGGCCCAGCAATCATGGTCAGCAGGGATGTGCGAGCTCAGGCTCTCTCAGATCAGTGTGGCATGCAGCCCCAGGCATTTCAGAGATCTGGCCGGCTGGCTTGGCCAGCCCTTTTGGCACAGTTTCTGCAACTACTCAGGACAACAAAAAACAAGGCAAAAAAAAGGAAGGCAAAGCAGCAAGCTCAGGAACCCGGAGGTGTTTCATTTATTCACTCAGATTTAAATAAGAATAACAAATGCCTGCACAAAAGAAAAGGAGATACTCTAACAATTCCTGCAACATTCAGCTCCAAAAAGACAGCTGCTTATTAGCAAAAACAAATGACAAGGTAGGAGCCTGACCTGCACAGCTGGTGAACAGCAGAACAGACCTCTCACTCCTCCTGGTAAGCTGGACACATACACTGCCCCTGCCAGGCCCTTAAGGCTCATTGTGTCTGGACAGCTCTACAGGGCTCCCTTCCTTCCTTTGCCTTCCCTTCTCTCTCCTGTCAGCTCATCCAAGGCTACCAGGAGGGCAGAGAAGGACCTGGGGAGTCACAACTTTCCTTGGACGAGGAGCTGCTCAGAGATCTGTCCCAGCCCCTTCCTGCCACCAAACTGCTTCCCCTTCACAGGTCTTGTCTCAGCAGCCCTCTTTCCTTATTAGTGTGTGTGTGACCCTCTCAATAAAACATTTTGCTGTGTGATGTATGAAGGACCGTGTCTCAAACCACATTTTACTGTATATTTAAGTGCGAGTTTTGCTGATTTACTACTGTTCTAGAGAACATCTCCCTCCCCGAGCAGGGCAGGCCTGTAACGGATACATCAGCTCTGAGTAATGATTATTAGTACATCCCAAGGTTATGTCCCACAATCAAATAATGTGTAGGAGGGAAGAGAGACTCCAGCTTACTCGACTGAGGACAAAGATCACAGATAGTCTCTTTCAATCTTCAGATTGCAATATCCATTACAGATTGCCACCTTCTAATGTCAAAGTATAATTTGTTGTTGAGAAAATGTGTCGCTGTTCCAAAGGTGAGTCAAAGATCAGCCCGGCTGTATATCAGCGCATGTTGATGTACATTAAGAACTGATGGCCAGGTACCAAGGACATGGGGCAGCCGGTGCACAGAGAACGGCAGCAGACGTGACTTGCTGATCCTTCCTGTGCAAACACGCGGCCCGGAGCGGGAAAATATTTAACCCAGTCAAAGTCAGGTGTCACCGGTAATAGCCAATGTCTAAGGCAGCACCAATGCGACGTGTCAGAGGCAGCGGCTGCCTGCAGCGGCTCCGGGCAGGAATGGTGCTGTTCCCGCGCTGGCGGCCGGCTCCGAGCGGCCGCAGGCCCCGGGATCCATCCCCAGCTATTCCCGCCGGGCAGCGCCGCCCGCCCCGCGCTCCCGCCGCCAGGGGGCAGCATCGTCCCGGCGATGGCGG